AATTGCCAACGTCAGGGGTTGTGTTGAGTATGTCCTCATCTGTTTTCTGGCCTTCCCTTACCCAGTCCTCCCTCCAGTGTACTACATGCACAATCCTTACTAGGATGTCCTCCCTGCGCCCTCCATGAGATCTTCTACCCCACTGCAGTGGTAGGTCTGGCATTAAGGGAGGGGCCCAAAACAGTTCTACCGATGTAGTCCACAGGCATGTTCCCGAACCAGAAGTTCAGCAGTGAGCCTGCTCTAGGCTCATCCTTACTGTCTTCTCTTGACTCCTCAGTCTGCAGCAGGCCTGAGAGAGGCTACAGGAGCAAGCCTGCAGTACCCATCAATGTACTTCTAGGTTTGGACTGGAGACTCAAATCGCTTGGATGTACATTTAGTCTCCACAGAGTGTTCTGGGACCTACATCCACTAAGATGCAGACAAGCTAAATTCTGGCCACGTCTGCACACTGGTGGCAGTGAGCTGCACCTGGGTCTTTCCCCAGACCACATCCTTCCCTGTTGCTCTAGTTCATCCTCAGTGGATATCTCAGGTCTGCCAAGGTCTTGATAAAACAGCAGCAGTGAAATGTCTGAGTATAGCCTAGTTGGCACCCCTCCATCAACCATGTTGGGCCAGAACGCTCTGTGCCCTTGCAGTCACACTATGCAGGATGCCTGTACCAGACACCTGTTGTAGCCATTTTGCCACTGGAGGTACATCTCTAATGTATCAACCCTGGAGATGCCTCTGGCTCCTGTGATAGTGATTGTGGAAGCCATCACAGATGGGATACCATGCAGCTGATGAAGGCCTCCCAGGAAAAGCTCCCCCATGCCTCCTGAAGGCCTTGATGAAGGCATATCTTGGTCCACTCCCTTATGTGAGGTGCTATTCCACCCTGTTAACGTGCTTCAAAAATGGTTAACACATCTAGTTTTATAACGTAACCCTCGCCAGCACGCTAGGCTGGGTGATATGCCGGATTCTGGATCCTCAGGCTGCCGGTAGCCCTGGGACCCCCAGGGCAGGTCTTCTGGCTGAGGCGTCCCGTTGAGAGGTGCGTCCCTCACCCTCACCCCCCAAGAATTTACATCCAAGCCCAATGAACAAATGGGTTTCTTTATTGTACACAACTATATACAAGACGAAAGCGATGAATCAAGAGGAGGCAATATATAGAATTAGCTTATCAACAGTGAATAATAAATCCAGTCATTTGCATCCAATCTGCCAGTGCAGCAGCAAGTGAACAACTCTAACATGGTGGGTGGTCCCCTTACAGCAAACCCCTCACTAATCACATTCACGTGGCCAAACCCTTCTGAAACCAGTTTCCCTTCAGAATGACCCCCCTTCTCACTGCAACACCCAGCAACACGGGTCTCCTGTGGGCGCCATCCTCAGCCTCGCCTCACCCCAAACGCCGGCCGGTGATGCGGCGATGAATGGCTTCCTCTCCTCGCTCCTGAAGACAGACCTGCAAACGCTACCGGGTTAAGTGTCTCCCCAGCCACGCTGAGGTTTGGGCCTCCTCAGCCTTCCTCCTCCGGGCCCTCTCCCCTCCCGGCAGGTCCCTTCTTCCAGCAGCCCCGACTGCCCCCAGCTCCCGGACGGCCCCCGGCTGCGGCCGCCCCTTCCCTTCCCTTCCCTTCCCCGCGTCCCCGGGCACCTGCGCCCTGAAGCTGCAGCTCCGCACCCGCTGGGAAAGCCGGGCCGGGCCGGGCAGCCAGGCTCTCCCCCGCTCTGGCACCGACTCCTGGAGCGGCCTTCACCCCGCTCCCTGCGGCCGAGCCGAGTCGGGCTACACCTACGCCAAACCCTCCCGCCTCTGCTCCCGCTCATCCGCTGGTTTGGAATGCCGGCACAGCCAATCAGAGCCCTTGGCTCGCAGCGGGGCTCAGCCCCCGCGCTCATGGTTCAATAAGAAGCACGCCCGGCGCGCGACGTGTTGTCAACTCGCAAACCTGGCCCGCGTTTGGCCGCGCTTCCTCCGTGGGAGCGGGAGCGCCTGCCCCCAGCCGGCGGCCCAGCGAGCCGGGCGCCTGCTACAGTGATAAGCCATCATCTCGGCCTGAAGGCTAAGTCCCGAGAAGCGGCCTGCAGGAGAAGGACCCAACCGCAGTTGGCGTTACTGGTTTTCCAGGGGTTTCAGCGGGGTGGCCTAGGGCCGCCTTCCGTTTCCAGCCCCAGTAAGTGAACTAGAATCCGGCCCCGCACGTCCAGGTGGAAGGGGAGGGATGCTCTTTGCCTGGGTGCTGTCAACAGGCGCAGGGTGAGATGCAACCAATCAGCGAGCACCAGTTGTTTCAGCCCCGCTTTGCAAGGCAGGGTCATCAGCCCGCGTCCAGCATCGCTGTGCCGCCCTGGGGAGGCAGAGGCTGGCCAGCTCCCTTCCCTAGCAGAGCTCCTGGCTGCTTTCAGCAAGGCGTGGAAATGCAGGGCTCGGCCGGCAATGTGTGGGGCTCTCGACGGAGTCTCTCTCTCTCTCTCGGGGATGCTCCTTTCAGCAGGGGGCCAAAAAGTGCCGCTGAACTTTGTGCAGGCTGCACAACTAGCAGGCAGTTTCCCTCCCAGCTGTTTCCTGGGCGTGTGCAAGTCACCAAGTGCCTCTACGGGAGGGCTGGGGTAACACAGGATTGCTGTCAGGACATGCTCAAGCACCTCTCTCTATTCTTGTAATGCATCCCGTGCGAGACAGGTTTATCTCTAAACGTGGATCAGGGACATCAGGGGCTGGCAACACACAGGCTGTATCCAGGCTGCAGAACCACTGGAGCCGGAAGGCTTTACCTCTGCCCATGCCCGGGCTGGGGAACAAGGCGCTGTGTTGGGGCCAGTAGCTGGAAGCTGCATCTGCATCACTGCTTCTTCTCCTTGCTCCCTGGCTGCAGTCCAGGTGCAGCTTCCAGGTAGTGGGGAACACGACTGAGCCTGGGCAGTTTCCCGTTGTGCCTGCACTGCAGCTGAGAGGTGGAAGGGCGGGGGAGAGGGAGGGAGCAGGAGGGAAGTGGGGACAAGGGGAGAAGCAGCTGAAGCTGAGTGCAAATGAAGCTCCCTGCTTCCCAGCCCTGGCTCAGTTTCCCATCAGCTGGAAGCTGCACCTACAGGGAGCTGAGGACTGGGAGAAGTGGCATCAGCCTAGGCACAGCTCCCACTTATCTAGCTCCAGTGTGGGAGCAGGCAAACCCTGCCCCACTGCTCTTGATGCACCACCAAAGCCTCTGGACTGCCCCATTCTGCACTGGGGCCGGGTCATTCCAACTCGGGGCTTATACAGGTTTCCAGCTCCTGAAGCGAGTCATTTAGTCACAAGCTACACTTTGGTTGCCTGTTCAGTGGAATGGGATTTTGTCCAAGGTATCCCTGTGCCTAAGTCCCATGCAGGGCATAATCAAGTAAATGCACACAGAGACTGCCTAACGCACACTGACATTGCAGGGAACAGTCACTGTCACACAAAAAATATAGAAGGTGGTGGTGTCCACCTTTTACTCTAGTGCCAGGCTCCTACAACACTCATGCAAGAAATGGGAAATCTACCAGTCTCCCCCCATCCACAGAGCCAGTCATCTCATCATGGAAGGCAAGCAGGTTGGTCAGGCCTAGTTTGGCCATGACTTGCCCCTGGTGAATTGATGGTGACTATTCCTAATCACCTTTTTCTCCTCCAAGTGCTTAGAAATGCATTCCTTGAGGATCTGCTCCATGATATTTCCAGGGACTGAGGTGAGGCTGACTGGTCTGTAGTTCCCTTTCTTAAACATGGGCACTATGTTTGCCCTTTCCAGTCATCCAGGACCTCTCCTGATCGCCATGAGTTTTCAAAGATAATGGCCAAGGGATCAGCCAACTCCCTCTGCCCCCTTGGGTGCGTCCCATCCGGCCCCATGGATTTGTACACATCTAGCTTTTCTAAGTAGTCCCTAAACGGTTCTTTCAACCCTGAGGACTGCTCATCTCCTCTCCAAACTGTTCTGCCAGCAGCCTGCTCCCCAGCATCCAGGAGGGAGTTGCCCCTAGAGAGATAAATAGCAGGCTGCATGCCTGGTGTTATTCAGCACCTGTATCTGCCTGTTTGCATATGAATGTGAAGAATACTGTAAAGTAGTATGCATTGTGTAATGTAATGCATTGCATGCATTGGAAATATGATATAAATGTGTAACAGAAGGGGAACAACTTTGCAGAGTCCTGACGCTGTGATTCTGGACTGCAAATCCCAGAGACCTTGGGGGAAGCAGGAAATGGACTCCCAGCTCCTAGCTGGCTATGTGCCAGAGTGCTGGGGTTGGATGCAGAGAGAGAGAGCCCTAAACAGTGCAGCCAGAGGGAAGTCTCTGTACAGCACAGATGAACCACAGACCAACTGCACGTGACCCCTGACTTAGAGACCTGCACAGGGTGACTCTGGACTAAAGGCTGGTTCTTGGGAAAACCTCTGGAGGTGGGGGAGGGGACTGTATGTGCTAAATGTATGTATTCCAGGAGCACTGACCACTACCTGTTTACTTGCCCTTTGAGTGTACGTTGTTATACTTTGAATGAATGCCTAGTTACCTGTATTTGTTCCTTCCATTTGGCCTGTTGGCCTGTGAGCCTAATTCCTAGGACTCTATATGAGAAGTGAGCAAACACCTTGTTGGCTGTTGTGATTGTGCCTGACACTGCAGGGGTTTGCTACAATACTAATGCAGAGCAAATACTAATCCAGAGATCAAGCTGTGGTAGGGCAGAGGAGAGTCAAACCAGTTATGTGGAGAAAAGCTTGTGGGTTGGCATGGAGGGCCCCACTGTGGGGCCCTACATAGGGGGCTGGAAGGCTGTGGCACATGGAGGATAGGGAAACACTGAGGGGTGAAAACAGCATGAAATAATCACTTATCCTGACAACCTCCTTGTCTTCGCAGTCTATAGAGAGGCTAATCCAGGAACTGCTCTCCCTAATTTAGGGAGATGGCATTGCATTGCAGACGCTCTCCTCTTGATTCAGGGGCATGTACCAAACACAGGCATGACTCCATCCTGGAGGTTTTATTCCCAACAAACACTGGCTGCTTGCATCTGTCTGGGTCAGTCAGAAGAGTCTCACCGATGTGTGCTGTCTGGTCTCCAAGGGAAGCTTCATCTGGCCCATCTCTGACTTGCCTAGGCCCCATCAGAGTGCAGCTTCTACAGTGCAGCTTCTTCTCTCATCAGCCATGTTGTGTCACTGCCAGCATCCTCAGAGAGCTCTTCTTGTTTTGCCACGCATGCTGTATCCTGGAATGGGGTCTGGGCTATGGCCTGTCGGGTCTTCAACTCCCCCAGGTCCACATGGTCTGTAAATCAAAGGAACGTGCCAAGGAACACAGGTCCTAAGTAAACACGGATTCCACCTCCCCTCCCTGCCAGCTAGGGCTGTGTGTCCATTCACTGGCTAGCAAAGCAATTAACCCCCTAGAGGCTTTGGTCTCCTGGTGGAGGTGCACTGGATGGGGCAGCAGGACACAGACACTTGGCTTGTTTGAACTCCTGCCTCTGCTGCCTTGGACCCTGAGCAGGCTGCTGCTTTGCTCTGTACCTGAGGCCCTTCCCACTGCATCGGCTTTCATTGTCTTCTCACTACAGAAAGGCACCTGCATCTCCAGAACAGGAGGCACCCATGGCACCACCATCATAGCGGGGAACCCAGAAGGTAGTTCCCTTCTTAACATTTGCTTGCATTTAAGAATAAGTCCAAAACTCAAAATGAAGAGAAAAGTATTCTTACCTGTAAGCATTTAAAATCAATCTAGTGCCATTCCTCTTTTACTGAGAGGCTGTGAATACCCTATGTGCTCTTGACCCTTGTTTTGCCTGAAGCTAGCCGGCCTCTCTTGTGCAATCAGAACCCTCTTCCTACCCTACTGTATAAGCCAGGACCTGGGAAAGCCCTGAAACTTCAGAGGATCCCAAGCTTCTCCTCTCTCTCTGTGCCTTAAGCCACCTGTGAGAGTCCTGCCACTCCTTGACCTCAACACACTAACAGCAAACAGCATTTCAGACAGCATGCACCACTCAGGATGCTGGGCCCAGATGCCTCCAGCATGGAGCCTTGCATCTTTCTTGTTCTAGGAGAAAAAGTTGGCAGTGGTGAACTGGTCTGAAGAGGAGCTGCCTGTACCATCCTGTGCTGAGACATGGAGCCAGCTCACAGCAGCCCTCTCCTTCCCCTCCCCTCCTTCTGGTTTAATTATACATCCTCTTTACTCTGCACACAAGATGCCACCTCTTCCTATATGGTTACTTACCCAGCACAAAACCCACAGGCCACTCTCACCACCCACCTCACAGGTGCAGTCCCCAATGAAAGTATCTCATGTGGGAGGGTGTGATAGGGTGCTTGGTGCACCTGTTACTAAGAGAGGAGGTTGCCTGTAGAGAGGCCTGTAGGTGGTGAGTGGGCTGATGACAGTCACCTGATCAAAAGCAGACCAGGCTTGAGCCATATAATATAAGCCCTGAGCTGGTCAGGCAGTCTACCCCTGAGTGCCACTAAGAGAGGAGCTCTTGGCAGCATGGCAACTGATAACATCTGAGCTGGGGTAAGCCACTCAGAGGCCTTTGAAGAGATAAGCCTGGGAACAGGAGTGGGTGAGCCCATAGCCTGGAGAAGGATGGCAGAGAGCAGAGGCCAGGGTACCTGAAGCCCAGCTAGGGAGTAGACCAGAGGGGCCAGGGGCTTGGCACTCAGGAGAAGCTAGCCAGGCCTTGGAACAGACAGGCTTGGGAGCAGAGGAACCAGGGGCCCCATGGCCAAGAGGGCTGCTGAGGAATGATCTGGTGGTTGTAGAAGGGACTGAAGGGGAGGTAAGGAGGTCCCCACTGGTCCTGAAGGAGACAGCCTGAGCCCATTGGGGGATACAGCATGGGGGTCAAAACAACAGAGGGCCTGGGACACAGAGAGTGAGCTAGAGCCCAGGAAGGACTAGGGACTTGAGAAGAATGTCCAGTGCCTGGGGGGGACCAGGGAGGGACCGGTGCCTAGGAGGGACTAGTGTGCTTTGAGAGAAGCTCCAGTGCCTGGGCCTGCCAGGGGGTGGAGAGTTGTTAGCAGCGCCGAAGTCCAGGGCCTGGGGGGTGGCCAGTGCCCAGAGGGACTAAAGCATGAACATCTGGTGCTTGGGGGAGACCTGAGTGGAAACGTCTGGTGCCGCGGGGCGGGGGGACAGACCAGTGCCCGGGGGGACGAGTGTGCACTGAGGGAAGCTCCAGTGTCTGGGGCCTGCCAGCAGGCAGAGTTAGGTTAGCACATCACCTGCATGGCTTGGGAATGGGTATTGGGGAGGATGAAGCCCACAAAACTAACCCTTAAGGCAATGACCACAAGCATTTGTGGTCTTAAGAATAAGACCAGGCTTGGGAAGCCTTGGGGCAGCCTCCTGTCCATCAGAAATTAATAACATCTAGGAGTGGTGGGCCAGAAACTAGAAGAGGGCCCCAAGGGAAGCCAGGTTAGCAAGGGCTGAGCAGCTACCAGGGGGCATCATGACCATTCTTGGGATGGGCACTTGCTACAGAGGGGCAGAGAGAGGGGTTCTGAACACCCTTCACAGAGGCACTTTAGCAATGGGGATTTTCTGACCCTTCCTCAAATCAAATTGATTCCATAGCTGTCCCTTTCTGGGGGTTACGGTGCACCATGGCAGTTTTCATCTGGACAGGCTCAGTCCTTCGGGGTTGGCCTTTCTCTTTCCCACCTTAAATGTTACACAGAAGAATGCTGGTCCCAAGCAGCCCTACACTGGGATCTGCTAGCGCATATGCCAAGATGTATTGTTTAGGGATAGCACAATATTACAGGCAGTGTCAAAAAGAGACCAACTACTGCGCTTTCTAGCTTCACTTTTTTCATCTTTCAGGACAGGAGAACAGCTTTGTGAACTTAAACGAATGGATTTGCTCTGCATCCCTGTGAGCTTACAGTTCTACAACATCCATTTTAAAGAGGGAAGCTGGCCACTTACACAGCTGCAGCTCATATTAAGAATGAAGGTTGGAAAACTGCACCCACCTAAAGCAATGAGTGCTTACATAATGGAGGGAGGTGCAAGAAACATACAATGTTTTGAAATGTGGACTCAAAATGAAATAGAACATTAAAGTCAATGTGGACTCTGAAAGTTTAAATGAAAGGAAATAGAAATAAAAAGGAACTGTGAAGCTGAAATTAAAACAGAAACCTGAGGGAGCAAAATACTCCCCCTGGACACAAATTGCATTGACATTTTTCTATCAAAAATTGTGTTAAAACTAACCTGTTTCTGCAAAATGCTTCCCTTTTGGCAAAGCAAAACTCCTCTATGGATCAGATCTACGGCATGCCAGTATTCCAGTCCTACTTTGGGTGGGGAGAGAGCAGCCCTCCTCACCATGTATACCACTTGGCTACACAGTGGGCGCAGCTACATGAGATGTGGGAAGCAGACTTCTTTGTTGTGTGGTAAAGCATCATTGTCTATGCATGTACGGCAATTGGGGTGCAATAGACTAATTTACTGTGCTGCTGCATAGTCCCAACAGATACAAGTCGTATCCGGCAGCCTAGTAAATTACCGCGCATAAATGCACATGTAGACAGTGATGTCATGAATAGTTTACTCCAGCTCAAACTGAGCTGGAGTATATTCAATCGCATTAATTGCACATGTAGATGGGCCCAGTGGGCTCTTACCCAGGAAGTGCCCAAGAGTTCCATCCTGCTGCTGCTTCCTCCTCCTCCTCCTCCTCAGGAATATGACAGCCACACAGAGCAGTACAGTGCCTACGGCCAGGCCCAACAGCAGCAGTGGCAGATAGGAGTTAGCAGGAACAGGTTCTGGGGAGAGGAAGTGAGGAATTCAGTTGTGCCTGCTATGGGAAGGCAATCCGCCCAGGAATGCTCCTTTCCCAGTGCCACTCCAAACCAGTTCTAGCACACCCGAGCAAAATCATTCCCACAATACATCCAGGGCCATCTCCATTATCCCCCGCTAGCACTCCCTGGGCCAACTCCACCCACCTTCCATTCCCCACCCGCAACAGCACATACTGGATGCCCAGCGATAGCCCCCATTCCCCACACAACTGCATCACATGCCTCTCAGCACTGAGTCCCTTCCCAATTCTGGGACTACTCTATCTGTTGCTAAGGCCAACTCCCTCACCCCAGAAGAACCAGGATGGCCACTTCCAGCCTCCCTCCAAAATTCCCTAAATCATCATGTATGCTCTGTACCCACACCTGGCACTAGTGGGAATGGGGGGAAGTGCTCTATACCTCACCACAAGCCTTGTGCTAGAGCCCAGTGCTTAGAGAGAAAGCTTCACAGAGAGAGTATTCCCACCCTCCTCCCTGCAGCACAGGCCCCAAAGCAGCACTGGACTGGAACTGAGTTCTGCAAGGAAGAGTGCCCTGATTTTCCACCCCTCTCCCTGTATCACAGCTCCCTAGAGCAGTGGTTTTCACCTTCTTAGACGCAAGGTACCCCCCTCCAAAACTTTCTGGAATGTAGTGATACCCAATGTCAAGACTAATTAATTTCTTACACTGATTACCTCCTTGGCCCCTGCATCACCCTGAAGAGGTTCTCATAAAGTTGTAGGGCAGGAAGGGTACCCCTGTGCTGGGAGCACAGCAGGGGGTGGTGCATGGTGCTCAGTGCTAACAGGGGTTGCTCAGCAGGACAGACTGGAGAGTTTCAGGGTGGGCCTTTAGAGCCCTGAAGGAGGTAGGTTTCCCTTCAGGAGGCAACAGGGAGTGAGAGTGGCCACTGGGGCAGAGGCTGGTGCCAGGTGAAGGCAGCGGAGGCAGAACTCTGCTGTACCCTGCTCTTTCTGTTCTCTGCCTCTTCCCTGTCCCCCTCTCTACCACAGACGATGAGCATGGCTTCTGCTGCTGTGGCCACTCCTTTGGGGACTTGAATCCCAGTGCCCAGAGACACCATTCCCCACACCTCTTCCCACAAGCTTCAGGAGTATGAAAGGAGCAGGGAAATGAGCTGGGCTGAAAATTGTGGCCCTGTATCTGACTACCCATAGTGGACCGTACTACTTGGATCCTGATGTTGGTCAGCACAAGGACTGCCAGGGGCGGGGGTTGTGCTTTTCAGCTCAGCTTTTTCCCCGGCTCCTCCCATGCTCCTGGAATAGTAGTGAGAGCAAAAAAAAAGCTAACGTTTAAAAAAAAATTGAGGTGGCACCTGCAATAGCAGGGATGGAACATGACAACACAGGAAGTCCTGTCTGCATTGTTAGCCACTCTCAGGAGTGTCTCAGGCAGATCTCTCATTTTCTCCTCTGACTGCATTTTCAGAGACATCCCATGCAAGTGTCATGCCAATATTTAGCTCATATCTGTAAGGAAGTTGAACTCCTCCTGGTTCTCTTTAGAGGTAATCCCAGACAGTCCAGACAGTATTTTTCACTCTAGAGTTCCCAGTTCCTTTCCTAATAGAGTCCTGAACTGTCAGTCCTCTGCCTTGTCCCACTTGCAGCCTGTTACTTTTCTTCTTGGATTAGCAATGGTGCCCCCAACATCCAGATATCAATACCACTTCTGCCACACATTTCTACTACACACTTACACATGGTAAAAAGTTGATGTACTGGAAGTCTCTTCTGCTTTCAGGGAAGAGAGAGAGGTAAACAAGGCAAACACACTGTAGATTACAACAACTGCTCCACCAATGGCGACCCTTTTTGTCATAGAAGTATAAATGGAAGATCCCTAATATCCCCTCTGCAAATTCCAGAGAATCTCTCCTCTGCCCCTTTTTAGGTGTTTGTCTGCAAGCAGGCAATGTAGCGTTCTGGTGGGCATGACAGAATGTGGTATTGTTTGGGTTTATTTCTATTGTAATATTGTGCATGGCTGAGTTTCCTTAAGTTGAGTGTGTGCCATTATATAAAAGGCAGCAATGGGTTAACTTTAACCCTTGACCATGGAAGAATAAGTTGTTGGTTTCTTCATGCAGCTACTGGAGTTGGTAGAGAACAGACCAGCAGTAAGTGAAAGAATTCTTTACCAGGAGAAGTTGCACCTGGGCTATTCAGTGCAAGCCACTATAACTGATGATTACCTTCCAAAGGATGACGTCCAATAGATGGATCAAAGAAAGCCTGCATGAGAAACTAGCTTGAAAAGGGCGCACACAGTGACCCCAGGGATGCACAGAGACAGAATGGATCCCAAAAAGATACAGCCGCCTAGGCCTGTGCCCTGTATAAGGATGGGCTCAGCTTATGTTGGGCATAGCCACTGTGATCCCAAGGCTCTTCAGCTTGATCAATAAGCTCTGTTTTGTTTTGGAAATGTTGCCTGCCTCGCTAAAGGTCACCTTTGCTAATACTCCTTCCCCTGAAATAGTGTAATGTCTCCACTGGGAGCTGAGAGATATCAAGTGATGTGATGCCGAGTCTCAGATTCAAACAAGCCAGGGGACTTCCCCCACTGGAAGCTATGCCTAGGCTGGCTTCAAGAGGTGCTCAGAGAGACTATGTAAAAGCTAGGAGTTGCAAACACAAGTCATTTTGTAGAGTCTATGACAGCTGGTCAATAGGCAATAACTGTTGAGTATAATACTCAGGGGGATTCTTGCACACCTGATTGGTAGGGACCTACCTAAATCACAGTTTCACAGATTTCATGGAAACTGCAAAAAACCAGCATTGTCCATGACTGCTGCGATTACTGGGAAATCTGTCACTGGACGCGATTTCCCACAAAATCAATAAAAAGTGGTAGTAAGGTAGACTGAGTGAAGGCCTCCTCTGCCAGTCAGTGGTGAAGGACAGGGCTGCCACAAAATACCCACAAAATCAGTTTTGCATGCTGTGAGTGGCCTGCAAAAAACTCAGTCTCGCTGTGACAATGTAGGTAATTCCCTACTGATAATTAGCATAGGGGAACACAGTGATGTTTCCTTAAAAATGGTATTTAAAGGTTTGTTTTTTGGGAATTGGCTTATAGCAGGTTGGTGTACCCCTGGCAGGCGGTTGAGAAGCAGGGAGTCCCCAGGCTGGTCGATGAGCAGGAACATGGAGGGGGCTTCCAGAAACCAGAGGGGTTCCAGAAACCAGTGGCGAAACCAGAAGCACTGGCGGCAAAACTGGAAGTGCCACCGCGGAAACCAGAGTTCCCTCGCTTCTCCGCACCACTGCTGCATACCCCCTGGGGCCTTACTAAGTACCCCCAGGGGTATGCGTAGCCCTGGTTGACAACCTCTGGCTTATAGGTATAGATATACATATTAGAATGGTTTAAGATGGGCAGCAGGGGTTAATTGATTTCTAAAGAGCTTGGGCCTCACAGTCACATGAGATCACAGCCTTGGAAGCAGGCAGGCTGTCTAACATAACAATGCCAACGGATGAACAACTGGTCTGGAAACTGAGGGAGTATGTACTACACTGACACATAACACGAGATAAAAGTGGCACCAGGAAACAAGGCCTGAGAGCAGGGGGGCCTGAGTCCTGGTTTTGGGGATACAGACCAAATTAGGAGAAGGCCTAGAAAGAACAAATTAGTAGGTGTGCATGTGATGGGCTTGGAATGTGTTGACGACATAGTACGTGGACAGTGTGACCACACAGAGACAAGCAACCAGAGACAGCCATGGAGGAAGAGTCATCAGGAGTCATTAGGAGGGAAGGGGAATACAAAAGCAGAAACCTGAGAATAACAAAGGGTCCCTCCCTGTCCCTCCTCATTCTTCTCCCTGAGAGGGTTCCTGTACCCGTCCTCATCCCTCAGGAAGGGTCCCAAAGGCTACCATGAACCGAGGGCATATAACCAGCCCATTTCATCCACCTCACTGGAGCGGGGTTGTGGGCCCTGGCATCCCACCTCCAGACTGCTGACATGCTGTGACATCTTACACCTAAGAAAGAGCCTCAGAGTGAAGATTGCATCCTGACCAGATGTACCTTGACTCTGATGACAGAATTGCATGATTGTTTGTATTGCTTCTTTTTTTGTTACCACTGTATATCAATAAATGTGCCTATTATCGAACGGAAAGGTCAAAACAAGGCCTCTGGGTCCTAAATCCAGAGCCAACAAGTGACTCCAACTGGTTGTTGCACCCAGATATGGAAGTGATGAAGAAAAGACAAGAGCCATCTTCTCAAATCTTTTGGTACTAAGAATATAAACATGCACTTTCGAGGAGTATTTTTTTTTAAATCAGTGATCACAGATAAATTGCAAACAATAGTTCTGAATAGCCTGATCTCTGGCCCACTGATGTACATTTTTGTAAAGACTGAAATCAATAAAGAACTAAAAGACAGGCATATACTTAATGCTTATCAACATGTTTTTAGGGAAAACTGGTCTTTTCACACAAATGTTATTACCTTTTATGTTCAAAGATTTGATCAATAAAAATAGCTGCTTAACATGCTATAGACCAACACTTACATTTTATATGGGGGTGGACTCAATACCATGCAATATTTTGATTTAAAAAATGAGCACTAGCCAAAAAACTAGTTAATGAACAGATCTCCAAAGTCAGTGAGAATTCATCATTCAAGGGATATGTTTTTAGTAGGGTTCCAGGGGAATGAGTATTAGGCCTGAAACTACAACACCGTTTCATCAGTGAAATCATGAAAACGTGAAATCACTGCTTATAAAATGTACAATTTACAGAATGATAAATTATGATAAAGGCAGGGCAGACACAGAATGATCTGCTTGGTAGGCTACATCTGTTCAAAGAAAGTATAATATATATTTTCATATGGGTGCAAAGTCTTGTATCTGGGAACAAGGAACACAGGCTATGCCCACAGAATCATGGGGTCATAGGCTGCAAGCAAATGTCACATTTATCCCAGGATAAATGATTTTATCTCCAAACAAACTTCAAGTGTATGGACATTCAGGTCCTTTATCTTAGGATAAATCCTAAAAAATGTTTCCCAGATAAAAGGCAGTAACAGTTTATCCCAGGCTACTGCAAAGTATACATACACAGTCATCCTGAGATAGCATTGTTGAATCAATAGCAGAAAAGCAGCACTGCATTTTGCCACTCACTAAAATCTGATTAGAAAAGTGATGTGTATACATGCCAGTCCCAAGATATTTTTATTCTGGGGCATGTCTACACAAGACATTTACTGTGGAGTTGCATAATTAGCTCTGCAGCAAATGTCTCAGCGGGTATGGCTACACGAGATGCTTTACTGCGCATTAGACTAATCGAATGTGCAGTAAAGTGTCACCGTCTATACCTGCACAGTAATTACTGTGCAGTTGATTAGTCTAATGCACTGTCTTCTAGTACCTGTAGATACAAGTAATAGAAATTGGTGCATTAAACTAATGTGCTGAAGTGCACGTATAGATGTTGACTAGGAGCAAATTGGTTCTAGGCAGCCTAGGTAGCAGGGGGCCATAGCGGGCAGGGAGCGTTGCCTGGTTCAGTGGGACGCTGTCTCCCAGCCACGTGGAGATCAGGACCTGACAGCCAGGACAGCTCTTCCAGCTATGTGGAGAACAGGACAGGTCCCAGTCTGCAGGTGTCTGGAAGGTAGTTGCTTGGCTGTTAGGACAGCCCTCCCCTGCCTGGTGGAGATTCGAACCAGCCCCTGTGCCCCCTGCCAGTCTGGGGCTGGTACCCAGCAGAGCCTGGGGATCCCCCTGGCTGCTGCAGGGGTGCAGAGTAGGGAAGGAGCAGCCGTTGAATGAACTGCTCCTGTCAGGAGCAAATTTGTTCCCAACAGGCGCTTGTTCAGAGGTGTGCAGGGCCCCAGTTTAATGCGCTTGAATTTTCTGCACAGAAAATCCAGGGACATTAATTACATGTGTAGACATGCCCAGCTTGGGGGTGGGGGGAACTCCAATCCGCCTGCCCCACCCCCACAGTGCAGGCTGGGCAAACCCCAGATAGAACTTCCTGGGCTCCCTTCTCCCCTTCCCATTCTGAAGACAGCACCAGAGACAGGGCTGGGTTACATCAACCCAGCCCTGCTGCTGACACAAGTTAACGAAGGTGCTTTGCTTTGGAGCACCTATACCTGAACCCTCATGTATTGAGGATTCAGATGGTTACATGATCGGGCACTTCTAAAGTGCTCTGCAGCTGTGCTCTTCTGTCAGGACATGGCTGTAGAGTGCTTCAGGGGCCCGATCATGATACAAACCATCAATTCTGTCAGTGCAAAGAGAGGAGGTAGTTGGTAGATACACTCAAGGAACAGGACCATTTCATGTACCCCACTACAGAGGAAGGCAAAAACCCCACAGTCCATCCATCTGACCATGGAGTAAAAATCCTTTTTGTTCTCAAATATAGTTTCATAATTGGTAGGGTTGGAAGGGACCTGAGCAGATCATCAAGTCCGACCCCCTGCCATGGGCAGGAAAGAATGCTGGGGTCAAACGACCCCGGCTAGGTGATACGGTGATTGTCTGATCCTAAGGGAAAAGCAAAACCCTCTAGCCAGAAAGTTCTGGGGTGTTTTAGTCCCAGCAGGAGCATGGGATAACCAAACACCCTCTGCTCTGCACTGCAACCAGGGGACTGCAAACATAACTCCCCAACCAGGGAGCCAGAATGCCTCTTTCTCTCCATAGACTTATCCCAACTGCTTCTCCTCATCCTCCTAGTTTGGTGGTCTATAACAGAAACCCAGCATCACCCTCTCTAGGTGAGAGGTGGCATAGAACCTAGGTCTCCTGCTCCCCTAGTGAGTACCCTAATCCTGAGGCTATCACTGGCAGCTAAAACATGGGAGGACGACCCTTGTTTTTCTCCCCATGAGTCATGGCCAGGATTTACCTGGCCTTATATGGATACCTGAGCAAGGATATGGTGCCACATATATCAATCCGCAGTGCAGCCCTGTGGAGCATGCTTAGGGGGTGTGCCACCCTACTATTATGTCTGTTTTCTGTGTGACAACCTCTATGTGTGGTGCTTAATGCTTATCTGCATATCTCTATGGGTTCTGAGGAGCCAAGGCTTACCATGACTTCTGTGATGGTCTAAAGTAGAGGGACTCTCAGCTCAGAAGTCCCAAAGGAGGTGGAGGGGAGCCTCGGGTAAGAATCTTCCCAGGTGGGTGCTATTGCTATTGCACTTGCTCATACAGCTTTGAAGAGAGACTAGCTGTTGTAGAAATCTTTCTAGTGCAGTGGTCCCAAAGGTTCAGCTTTTTATCCAGCCCCTGGGTCTGAGTTGACCCACATGCTGCCATACTGGCACTGGTGTGCAGGGCCCTGAATGCTCCGCCTGCTCTGGAATCTGTGCTACATGCAGCACCCTCTCTGTGACCAAAGTCACCTGCTCCAGCCAGTCTAGGATCTGCACCGCATATAGCTTGTCACCCCCTCAGACCAGCTGGAGTAGTAGGCATTGCATGTAGGTTGGGTCTTGGAGTGGCCAGAGCAGGCGCTGCGTGCAGCATACATACTGGGACCTGTGTTACACACCCACTCCGTCCAGTCCAGTCCAGAGTTTCCATCGCATGCAGTGTTCCCCACTTCCACCAGTCATTCTGGGGTGTGTGCTGTATGTGGCACAGCCCTGGACAGGGCTGGGTTGTGGGGGCGGGAAAACATGTAGCGTGGATCCCAGGCTGTCTGAGGCAGGCACCATGTGCAGTTTGGGTCCTACCACGGGGAGGCAAGAAGAGGGTGGAGGTGGGGAAGTCCATGGACCTAATCCAGTCCATGGACAGGCTCCATACCATTCATCTGGCTTGCAGAGCCAGGTGAGTTTGACAGCCCTGCTCTAGTAGGTTCAAGCTGGGACCTGCTACCCACTTGTGCAGCAACTCCATTGGTGGCAGTGAGCAGCAGCACAGCAGCAACTGCCCCGCCCCCACCAAGTGACAGTGAGCAGCAACAGTAAGTAAAGCAGGGGCTCCCAGTGATGGTGTGCAACAAGAGAGCAGCAAGAAGCAACAACAGCAGCAGCAGAGCATGCCACCTAGCAGCAGCAAGGAGCAACGTGCATGATAGAACAGTATCCCCAGCAGTGGTGAGGAAGGGGAAAGCTTGGACTACCACCTATACTGTCTTTAATGGCTACCAAGTTCATCCTGCACAGAACTAAGAGGGAGCTGTGAACATATTGACTGTGATTAATTGTTGATAGTTGGTTAAAGTGCTCTCAAGTTTATTTCTTTGTCCCTGTTCCATTCCCCTTCAATTAACCCTGTCATAGTTCAATATTGCTGGCAAATGGGGAAGTTTGTTCGCACTGGATCAGAATGTATTTTCTCAGGTTCCTGGGCGGGGACTCGAGCTAAGATAATGAATTTGTGCAAAACCCCTAAATTGAACTTGTCCCTTGCTATGGCCACCCTGCACCTTGCAGAAGGGTTACAGCTGTGTGGACACTTGGAACCAGATGTGAACTGCAAACTGTGCATGCCAAAACCTGCTATTACATATCCATGTATGTATTATTTTGATATCTAACGTGAAATAAAATTCAGCCCCAAATACAGCCAAGTTTCATGCTGTGAGTTACAGGGACAGATACATCCTCTACATATGTTACTAGCAACACAGTTGATCAGAAGGTGATCACTGACTACAAGAGAGAAAACACCCTCTTGCACACAATTCCCCACAGGTTTCCATGAAGCACCTCAGCTCTCGCCCAGACAGCTCTAGAATGGGGAGAGACAAACAGCCCCCAGGAAATAAATGCTCAGAGAGATTCCTGTACTTCTGATCTTTAGGGACTGCAAAGGAAGTAGTAGCCCCTGCTAATGAAGCATATGCTGTGTAAAGTTTGACATGGGCAAGGTTGTGAGAGTGACTGCAAGGGGAATGCAGCCATCCAGCAAGTGGCATGAAGGGGAATTACCTGAGCACACAACACTGGCATCTTTTCCATGCTGACAATTATGATATCTCCAAGGTGTAGCCCTGCATTCAGAGAGGGCAGCTTCTGTCCCCGTGCAGTTCACCTCAGCCAGCCAGATGGGGTCATGTCCACGTCCAAAGTGAGCATCCCCAGGGGCCAATAACACTGTCCCACAGCCTAGCTGCCTGCACACCACTCCAGCATCCTGCAAGTCCCAGCTGTCATCACACACTGTTCCCCACTGCTGGTCATAAAGCACTTCAACCCTGCCAGCACAGCGATGGGAACCGTTCACCAGCCGGAGCTCTGCTGGCTCTGAAATGGGAATGATACAAGATTCAGAAATCTTAAGCGAAAGGGGTCCATCATAAGCCTTGAGTCCAACCTCCCACATAACACCTGCTGTACAACCGCACCCAGAAGTTCTTGTACCCAGCCAACAACTTCAGCCTGGCTTAATACAGATCTTCCAGCAACTGCAAAGACACCTCAGCATATGATGTCAGTGTAGCTATCAACCCAAACTGTAAATATGTCTTGAAGCAATGTCAGTGTTTTGTGGGGCAAGAGGATAGGGTGTAAATAAGGGTTACCTGAGCACACCACACTGGCAGCTTTTCCATGGTGACAATTATGGTCTCCCCAAGGTTTAAACTTGCAATCAGTGAGGGCTGCTTCTGTCCCTATGCAGCTCACTTCATCTAGCCAGATGGGGTCATATCCATGTCCAAAATGAGAACCCCGAGGGGCCGATAAAGGAGTTCCACATCCCAGCTGCCTGCACACTACTCCAGCATCCAGCAAGTCCCAGTCGTCATCACCACACACAGTTCCCCACTTCTGGTTATGGAGCACCTCGACTCTCCCAGCGCAACGATTTGAGCCATTCACTAGTCGAAGCTCAAGAGGGCCTGAAATGAGGAGAGACACAAACACCACCCAAGGAGATAAAAGATCAGGCAGATTTCTGTGCACTGAGGAACACAGCAATTCTCAGTGTGGGAATCTAACATCTTGAAGGGCACGATATGGATAATGATCGCTGATTTGTTCAACATGGGCATCTTCTCTGTGGATACTGTGCAGGAGGGAGCTTCTCCTCTAGACTCTGCAGCAGGAGTTGCACTGTAATTATATGCGTGTAAGACCCTATAGTGATAAGAGTGTGGCAAAACCAGTATAACCCTGCTTCATCAAGGGTCAAATGTGTCAATTTAAGCCATTTGTACTGCCACAGATTCATGCAAACAATTGTTACAGCTGCTGTGGGGGTCCCTCAAGCCACTGCAAGTGTATGCTTTTCCATACCCAGAGCAAAAGTGCAACCACTACAGGGTCATTCACGTTCCTCCGAGCAGCACAGTGCCCCCCAGCACCGTCCAGGATGTAACATGGTTGAGAGTTACCTGAGCACACCACACTGGCATCTTCCCTATGGTAACAGAAATGTTCTCCCCAAGGTTTGGACCCACACTCAGAGAGGGAAGTTTCTTTTCCTGTGCAGTTCAGATGATCTAGCCAGATCACGCCAGAACCTTCCCCAAAGTGAGCATAGCCTGGGGCTAAGACTGCTGTCCTGCAGCCGAGCTCCCTGCACACCACATCAGCATCATTTAAGTCCCAGCCATCATCGCACACAGTTCCCCACAGGCTGCCGTGAAACACCTCGACTCTCCCAGCACAGTCACTTGAGCCATTCACCAGCCGGACCACAGGCAGCTCTGGAGTGGAGAAAGATAGAGGCACCAGCAGAGGATAAATACTCCATGAGATTCCTGTACCTCTGAATGCTAGGGACTCTGGGGGATGGAAAAGCTCCTGGTAAAGAAACTAATGCTATGTAAAATCAGACATGGACAAAGATTGTGAGCAAGCTCAACACTGGTGTCTTACAAATAAAGTTTTGACTTCAGGAGCTAACTATCATTGTCTGGCACCACCCCAAAGAACTTTAAGAGCCCAAAACTGGACAAAGGGAGCCTGGGCTGCTAGTGCCTGTGAACAGCTGCAGGCAGAAGGATCTGAGGCTGCACAGCACCCCATTGCATTGTAGTGAGGCAGGGGCATCAGACTCAACCCAAATGGGAGAGAGTCGCTTGCTGCCCCACACAAGTTCCTTTGTCACAGTGTCCTCTAGGGCAATTTTCCAGCATTGAGATTAGCTACAAGAGGAAATCAGCCCCTGCTGCACCCCACAACTCCTCCCCTACAACATAGGGTGACCTAGCACAAGGCTGGGATTTTGGGTCCAGCAGTGACTTCAAGGGGAATGCATCCCCTAGTAAAACTCTTGTCCTAGTATGTACCATAAAACAACCCCTAACACCATCTAGCAGGTGAAATGAAGGGGAATTACCCAAGCACACAACACTTGCATCTTCGCCATGCTGACAATTATGATCTCCCAAGGGCTTAGCTCTACATTCAGAGAGAACAGCTTCTGTTCCTGTGCAAGCCACTTCATCCAGCCAGATGGGGTCATGTCCACGTCCAAAGTGAGCTCCCCCAGGGGCTGATAACACCGTCCCACAACGCAGCTGCCTGCATACCACTCCAGCATCATGCAAGTCCCAGCTGTCATCACACACTGTTCCCCACTGCTGGTCATGAAGCACCTCGACCCTGCCCGCACAGCGATGGGAACCGTTCACCAGACGGAGCTCTGCCAGCTCTGAAATGGGAATGATACAAGATTCAGAGATGTTAAGCTTAAAGGGGTCCATTGTGAGCCCTCAGTCCAACCTCCCACATAACACCAGCCATGTATTTTTTGTACCCAGCTATCTACTTCAGCCTTGCTTAAAGCAGATCTTTTAAAAGTATACAATACATGGGTTTGACAAGGTTTTGACAGCACAAGGACTTGAAAAAAAAGGAGAATCTCTCACAGTTCTGCATGGACACCTCTAGTAGTTAACTACTATTACTATTTATAATTTGCACTTTAATTCTGTCTACAAGTCACCTTATGGTGACATTGTTACTGCACCGTACATGTAGTGCACAGTTAGTTTTAGCTGGTATTCGCTGTAGCGGCACGCTAAAATGGGAGAGTGCGGCACTACAGCAAAGTAGCTGCCGGTCACGTGTAGACTTCTGTGATCGCTACGTTGCTGTAGCCCATCACTACAGTGATGTAGAGTGATGTGTAGACATACCCTTAGTGTATTTTAAGAAATGCTTCCTGTCCTTGTAGTGGCAAGGGCACTGACAGTGCCCTCATTCCTCTGGAAGCTGAAGGGTATACCATATTCACTCAAATACAAGAAAAGGTTTTTTTCTCCAAGCAGTACAGGGGGAAAAGCCCGCCATCTTACTTTTGCAAACAAGGAAACCTCAATAAATACACTGGCTCTCACTAAACTATTACCAAAAACAGCAGGTGCTCAGTAATGGGAGCCAACTATGAAGTTGATCAAATGCAGTCAACACTGAACATGACTTAAAACACCTGACGCATATTAGGCAAAGATGCCGATGGGGACCTATCACAAGGATAGATTAATGCAACATATCCAAATAAGATATAGAAGTAGTGCCTATTAAGTGCATTCCCCTCAGCACCCCTGTTCCAATGATTCCTGCTTCTTCACCAGCCTTAAATGCCTGGCAAACATCACAAAACCGGTTCCCAAAAAGTTCACTCAGAATCCCTCAGTTGCTCCTTCTCTCTGCCTGTTGCATATGATTCCTGCAAGGCTTGGGGTGTGGTGTAGGGGAGTAATGAAGCCATGTAATTAGCTCTTAAAGTTGTAGGTGTCCCACAGTGGCATAGTCAAGAGAGGCCCAGCGAGGGGCCTGAGAACAGTGCAGCCTAGCAAGGGGCCTGGGGCCAAAAGGGCCTGCTGACCCTGTGGGCATATCAGAGACCAGTAGGGTGACAGGGAACCCCTGTGGGGGTTCAGCTAGACTGGGGCTCATGCGAAAGCCCGTGATCAGCCTCCCTTTTAATCCTATTATTACATTGAGGTATGGTGAGCAAGGTGTGGTGGACACCCTAGGGGCAGAGCAGAGCATGGCTGTGGAGCCACTAGGGGGTGTCACAGCCTTCCCGGGACCCTAATGTGCTATAGTATTATATGCACATTCCTACAGCTATATTTAATTTCAAGGTTGTTCTTTTCAAACTTGCTCCTCACTTCGCTCTCAGGGAGAGCAGGTTCTGTCGGTAGAGAGAAGGGGAAAGGGCTGCAGGAGGAGCAGCAGAGTGCAAAGGGGCTACCTGAGCCCCTAGATTTATTTTATTTTGCTTGCTGTAGCAGTAGGAGAGGGACAAATTCAAGGCAAACCTCCAAGGTTCAGGTTCTATACCTGGAAAACTATTTTAAAAAATGATAAATTTTCCATACATAGAATCTAATTATTGGGAAGTCATCTTATAATTAGGGTTATCTTATATTTAAGTAAGTGCAGTATTTGCTGTTTCAGGCCTGATATCTAGTAGTTTTGCATGAGGGCTGTTCATAAAGTTTTTAAGGACAGGTTAGTCAAACACTTAGCTAGGATAGCTTAGTCAGGAATGATCCTGACTTGAGAAGGCTGTTGGATTAGATTAGGAGAGGATGCCTCCAAGGGAACCGATGCCACTCCAAGCACGGCACAGGCCAGGAGCTACCAGAACACCAAGAGGAAGAGACGCCGGGTCCTCATCATCGGCGATTCCATCCTGAGAGGAATGGAGGGACCCATCTGTCGCTCTGACCCCATGGCACATGGGGTTTGTTGCCTGCCTGGAGCTCGGATTCAGGATGTCACGGAGATGATCCCAGACCTCATCTGACCCTCTGATCATTACCCCATGGTCGTCATCCATGTGGGAATGAATGACGCGGCCAGGGGCAACCCAGACCACATCATGAGAGACTACAAGGCTCTAGGGGCAAAGCTCAAGAAGACAAGGGCACAGATGTTTTTTTTCTTCTATCCTTCCAGTGAGCAGACGCAGACGGCGCCATGAGACATGCATCGGCGAGGTCAACCGGCAGCTCCAGAGCTGGTGTTACCAAGCAGGCCTTGGGCTCTTGGACCATGACCCACATTTCCGCACAGAGGACATGCTCGGGCAGGATGGGCTTCATCTCTCCCCAAAAGGTAAGCGTGTTTCTTCTTCCAGGCTGGCTGATCTCATATGGCAAGCTTTAAACTAGGTTCACCAGTGTACGGGGACACAGAAGAACACGAGGACACTTTGCCGTCAAGCCAGATGGCACACACAGGTAGTACCCAGGTAAGTGACAGGGGCAGGGAAGACTTAGGAACAAGGGGGCAGCACGGACACCTAGAGGAGGCTCAAATGTCTCTACACAAATGCTCACAGCATGGGGAATAAAGAGGAGGAACTTGCCCTCCTACTAGCTAGCAAAAACCCAGACCTAGTGGGGTTCACGGAAACCTGGTGGGATTCTACCCATGACTGGGCAGTGGACTTCAAGGGATACAGGCTGTACAGGTGAGCCAGATCAGGGAAAAGAGGGAGTGGGGGGTGTAGCACTATAAGTCAAAGAGCAATACATGTCCTCAATGATCAGGATGGGGTCAGAGGAGGGGCAAAATGAGGCGTTATGGGTAAGAATGCAAGGGGGGCATGGGGAAAGGACTTGATTGTAGGCGTCTACTACAGACCGCCTCACCAGGGGGACGAGCTGGACCTGGAATTCTCAGGTCAGCTCACGGAGGCTGTAAAGTCAAGGGATGTGGTTGTCCTGGGTGACCTAAACTACCCAGACATCTGCTGCGAGGACCAGTCAGCCAGGTCTGACCGCTCACGTAGGTTCCTAGCCAGGATACAGAACCTCCACCTGACCTAGGAGGTGCATAGTCCCACCAGGGGAAATGCCTTGCTGGACTTGGTCCTTGCCACAGGCGACGACCTGGTGAGGGGTTTGCGGGTACTCGATCACCTCGGCAACAGTGATCATCACCTGCTGGAATTTACTATCCAGCGCAGGGTAGTGAAAGAAAGCAGCAAGGCAGAGGCCCTCAACTTCAGGAGGGCCGACTTCTGTAAGCTAAGAAGGGTAGTAGGAGAGGCATGGGGGTCTCGGAGCTTCATTGAGATGGGAGTCCGAGATGGGTGGTTGTTCCTCAAGGAGACGATCCTCCGAGGTCAAAGGGAGTCGCTCCCAATGTGCATCAAGTGGGGGAGGAGTGCTAAGAAGCCCCCATGGCTCGGCAAAGGCATCCAGGGATGCCTGATGGCAAAAAGGAGGTGTACAAACAGTGGAAGCAAGGGGCTATCACCAAGGAGGATTACACCTCCATTGCTCAGGACTGCAGGGAAGCTGTTAGGAAGGCCAAGGCTGAGATGGAGCTAGGGCCAGCAACCAGAATTAAGGATAATAAAAAGTCCTTTTTCAAATACATAGGAAGTAAGAAGAAGGCACCAGGTAACATGAGGCCCCTACAGGATAGGCTTGGCGATCTGGTGATTGCGGCAAACGAAAAAGCTGACCTCTTTAACAAATTCTTTGCCTCCATATTCCTGAACAGGGACCAGGACAGCACTCCCACTAGAATTGCGGACGGACCCGGGGAAGCATCGCCATGCCTAGGGTCAGGAATGACCTAGTTAGGGAACTTTTGGAGGGGCTGGACATGTTTAAATCACTATGTCCAGATGCTCTTCACCTGAGGGTGCTGAGGGAATTGGCGGGGGTCATAGCGGGGCCCCTGGCACAGCTCTATGAGTGCTTGTGAAGCACTGGCCAGGTACCAGAGGTTTGGAAAAGGACCAATGTGGTCCTCATTTACAAAAAGGGGAGAAAGGAGGACCCCAGCAATTATAGGCCAGTCAGTCTTACCTCAGTCCTTAGGAAGACCTTTGAGAAAATTATCAAGGAGCACATCTGCAAGGGCCCAGCAGGGGAGGTAATGCTCAGGGGCAACCAACATGGATTCATTGAGGGCAGGTCCTGCCTGACTAACCTGGTTTCTTTTTATGACCAGGTCACAAAGTCCCTGGACAGGGGTGTCTGTTTGGATGTTGTCTTCCTGGACTTTAAGAAGGCCTTTGACATGGTTTCTCACCACATTCTCTTAAAAAATACTTGGTGACTGCAGCATTGATGCCTACACAGTCAGATGGGTGGCAAACTGGCTAGATGGTCACGCCCAGAGAGTGGTGGGGGACAGGTCACTTTTGACCTGGAGGGATGTGGGCAGTGGAGTCCTCCAGGGCTCGGTCCTGAGGCCTGTACTGTTTAACATCTTTATCAGTGGTACGGATGTGGGTGTGGAAAGCACGCTGCCCAAACTCGCTGACGACACGAAGATGTGGGGCGAAGTGGGCATGCTGGAGGGGAGGGACAGAATCCAGCTAGATCTAGACAGGTTACAGAGGTGTGTGGATGAGAATAAGATGGACTTCAGTGCAGACAAGTGCAAGGTGCTGCATCTAGGGAGAGGGAACCTGCAACACACCTATAGGCTGGGGAACACCCTTCTTGTCAACACGGTGGCAGAAAGGGATTTTGGAGTCATTTTTGACTGCAGGATGAACGTGAGCTGCCAATGCGAGGAAGCAGTCAGTAAGGCTAACTGCACCTTGTCGTGCATCTACAGATGCATCACAGGCAGGTCCTGGGGGGGGATCCTTCCCCCCTATGCAGCC